ATTATCCTCTCCTTACCGAAGTTCAAACCTGGTCCAAAACTGATGAAGAAAAATCTTAAATATTTGCTCACCACTTCTTCAAAACCTTTAATCCACAGCCTGACATCCAAAATCCAAATCACCTTTAATGTATTGATGCAGAACTGAATATTTCACTCCAAATGATTCCCCCTTCTTAAAGCGTTTTATCCTTCAAATATATGCAATGTCAATCACAGATTTACCCTCCCACAAAGCTCCTGGCCATGAGCTAATCATAACCCATATTCTTAAACTACTTCCCCGAAAAGCCATTCTATTCCTTACTTACATATTTCAATATTAATTAATAGCGTTAATGCCATAATCTGTTCCACATATTTTCTGGCCCTTGGAAACTATCTACTGTCAAAATGATACAAAAACAAAAAACCATCAGAATACCCATCCTCTTACCGTCTTATCTCTCTTTTACCAATCATGGACAAAATCATGGAAAAACTGATCCCAAAACGCCTGTATCCCATCCTAGATTCTAATCACTTAATCCCAGACCACCAATTTGGATTCTGCTCATTCCATTCCACTATCCAGTATTGCCATCGTGTGGTAGACATCTCCTCTGGATTGGAGCGCGGAATGTATTACACTGGAGTTTTTCTTGATTTTGAACAGATGTTTGAATGAGTCTAGCATCCGGGATTGCTTTATAAACTCCGTAAATTCATATCTCCGTAAAATACTTTCTCATCATCCGTTCCTATCTTACTGACAGGCACTTCAAAGTAAATCACAATAATGCCTATTCATCTCTCTTTTTTCAATCTACTGGTGTTCCTCAAGGTAGTATCCTTAAACCAATCCTTTACACAGTTTATTTATACAGCTGATATCCCAAACCATCCTAACAATGTCATCACCACCTATACCAATGATATATTGGTCCCATCAGTTAATAATGACCCATTAATAGCACATCACAAGCCATAAAGAATGGTATAAAAACTGGAGGATTAAAATAAATTCCATCAAATCACCTTCACCCTTCATCGTAAACCTATGACTTCCTGTCCTACAGTATCATTTAATAACATCCCTCTTATCCCTGTCGAACAAATCTGACAACTAGGACTCCACCTGCACAAACGTCTCACTTGGATTCCTCATACAAGACTAAATGACAAGAAATTGCTTGACATTACAGTTTACTTCAACACTTACTAGACAAATGCTCTAAGCTTCTAATTAATTATAAAAGACTCATATAACCGCAACAAGGCCTTCGGAAAATCCTCAATGCTCCTTACTTTGTCACAAATAAAATAATCCATAAAGACATAAATGTTCTATATGTTTCCGATTTGGCCCAATTCAGATACCTATCCTTCCATAATAAACTTCATAACCATCTGAATCCTCTCGTTCCATTTCTAACCTTGCTTCCTCTTCTATCCCTGATAACACTCCGAGGCGTATGAAAAGAAAATGGCCTCGTGATTTAAGAATTTTATTGGAGTGCTACCAATGGGTGGTTTCCCTACAAGTGTTCTCATGTCACTGTATTGCTATTTATCATATTTACTATATGTATATTTGTTTTTATATAGTTATTCAGTGAGGGCGGGGTGGCCGAATGGGCTAACGCTTGTGCACTGCACCGTCGTTGCCCGGCAACCTGATACATGAGATTTGATAAAAAAAAAAAATAGTCACGAGTTCGCGTACCGGTGCCCGGAGGAGTTTTTAAATCCCTGCCCACACTCCCTGTCCCGGGAAAACCCCCGTATAGCCTTAAAGGCGAGGAAGGGGAGGAGAAAAAAAAAAAAAAAAAAAAAAAATGTTCATAAATAAAATAAAAAAATTCAGTAATTAAATAAAAAATAACCACATTATGTTGTTTATTCAAACTTTAACCAATGAAAGAAAGGAACTGATTAACCATTTGACTGCAAACGGGATACATGCCTTCCCGTTAAGAGTTGGGTCACTGGCGTGGCCAGGATATAAAGAGAAGTGCTGCGGGATTGTCGCTCCAATTTTGCATTGCTATGTGCGGCCGCGAAGGCATATATCTGATTTATTAAAAGTTGAATAAAAACATTTAAATGCATTTTTGAAAGCTAAGATCTTGCAGAGTGGCTCAAAATAGCATTTTAAACAAACGTATGCAAACAAAAAATCTGTTTTTTGGATGTCCTTGTGGATTTAAGGATGCTACGTACGGCAGAAACTCGCGAAGAGCTCCCCGCAAGCAAAGGGTTAGCTAAATTTTTGTAATAAAAGTTAAATAAATAATTTCAAAATTAAATGATAATAGGATAAAATAATTTTGATTAAATTATCAATTAATTAAAGAGCTAAACTAATTAGTTAAATCTAATGCAATAATAAAAAAGAATATCAGATAAGATATAATTCAAATATTTGATAGTAATGATTAAATTTTTCCTTTAAATTTAAACTGATGAAACTAAAATTAAAAAAAAAAAAATATTATCAGCCTATGAAACAACAAAGAAATAAAAAATGAAGTGTTCGAAAGTTGATCTTTATATTTGATGTCCAAGAATGCTGGCAAACATAGGACGATTCTAGAGTAAAATAAAATTTTCGCGTTTGTAGAATAATGATATTATTAAAAATATATAACATTAACATATTATAAGCAAGTTATAATGACCTATAAACTAGACTGTAAGCTCATTGTTGTCTTACTGAAGTATTTGCAAAGATTTTAAAAATATAATGTCCCTTATTGTCATTTAACAAATTAAAAAATACACTGATCATACTTAATACACAACAGATAGAGTATATTTTTAGCAAAATAAAACTACTACCATCAATTCAAATTTAATTATACAATCAACTTTATAATTATATTCTATTTTACAATATGTAATTAAAATATCTAAAGTTTCAATGTTTAAAATAAGCAATAACTCATTATTATTTAAAAGATTTTTTCAAAAGCATTGTTTCCTAAACTCTAGTAAAACTGCAAAATATTATGCGTAGTTTGATATCCAATATATTATATTATATATCTCATTTACTCTTTCTGAGGGCTATGAGTCATTCCATTCCCAAAATACAACTTCTCCGAATATTTCTAGTTTCAGATTAGTATTTCTTTTAGTATTACTGTCAAAATCCTCAAAGGTCAGAATATATAAAAACTCTGGTTCGACCTGTCTTAAAATATGGCACCAAAATTTGGACGCTTACAAGGACTCAGAAAGTGGAACTGTCAAGGTTTGAATGAAAGATCCTGAGGAGAATTTATGGGGCTGCATGTGTTAACGGAGGCTGGAGAAGAAGAACTAACCTGGAGCTGAGAAATCAATATAGCAACTTAGATGTGATTAAATTCTCGCGATTATGATGGGCAGCTAGGATGAACCCAGAGGAAATCACATCTAGAGTCCTATCGGAAAAACTAGTTGGAGCACGGAAGGTTGGATGCCCTAGGCTCTGATGGGAAGACTGTGTTGCTACCGATGCATTATTGATACTTGGCATTCGCAACTGGAAGGCAGCAGCACTAAACAGAGATGACTGGCGGTCAATGCTGGAGCAGGCCAAGACTCAGTGTGTGGGTTGTAGAGCCGTATAATATAATATATATACTTCTTTTGAATGAATAATAGTATCAATTTCAATGATAGCAGATGGGTCAGAATAGTGCTCAAATTGCATTGAAAATAACTTTGAAGAAACATCACAAGTTTTCTATTGAGGGAAAAGTGAAAATTATAAATCAGAGAAGGAGAAAGAATAAAAAACTTGGTGTCAGAATTTTGAATTTTCCAGTATTGAAAATCTGAAAAACTAGAAACAAAATCAAGGAAATATTAGAGAAAGACAATTTAAAAAAAAAAAAAAAAACCTATAAGCAGCTAACATCGCAGTTCTTAAATGGTTTAAGGTCCAAAGAAGCCAGAAGTATCCCACTCACTGTCTTGATTTAGCAGGAAAAAAGCTACTAAATTAGCTTTTTTGCTGGGGAAAGATGAGTTTAAGTGCAAGATGTCTTTGGTCACCAGGCTCCAAGACAGACATCACATTGTGTTCCATAAGATAAGTGGAGAACCATCACATGTTCCTGCCTGATTATCCGAAAACTGATTTCAAAACATCTGGCCAACAGTTTAAGAAAACTAGGCTGATGAAGGTATTTTTAATTCTGATTAGACCTGATATGTAATCAATTAACCCGAGATAAAATTCTTATATTTAATAGGCATGCATGTGTTTTTTTTTTCTTAGTTTTAATTTTATTATTTTTAGGTTATTTTATTTTATTATTTATTGTATATACTTTTGATTATTATTTTGCTTCTATTTATTTTACATTTTTTGTACATATAGTGTGAATGTTATCCTACCTCACTATAACCAATGTCCAAGAGACAGATTGTTGTAATACTCAATAAATAAATTAAAAAAAAAAAAAAGGTGAAACATTTCAAACATATATATTTAGATTTAACAGTTGGGTTGTGGATATAACAATGTACTTTCCATGGTCCTTATAATATTGTTATAACCTGATTTTATTGTATAAAACTAAAAGAAACTGATAGAAGAGACTAAGCATATCTGGGTAACGGTTTGGAGCAATATAGGTTCAATTCCCACCTGGCTAATTAACATTTCTTGAGCAGTGTTTCTGCAAAATAAATCTTCCACTCCTACCCTGATTTGATGCATAGGCATATGATAGCCTATAAGCTTGGATAAAAGAATCAATTCGCCCACTTGCAAAAATAATTCTTCCCCACAAATATCACTAACAGTAGATAACCAGAAAACTTTAATATATCCATTACAGTAGTTAGAAAAAGAAAAAAAAAAAAAAAGCTTCTACAAAGTAATTTAAACACCTTAATGATTCCAAAAAAAAAAAAAAAAAAAAAAAAGATCAGTTCACAAAAAAACAATTATAAATAATAATAAGGTAGAAATAAAGTTAAGAGAAATAAAATTTAAAAAAAGTCTTAAAAGCTTAATTTCATTACCAGTTTAAAATGTATTTTTATCATTTGTTTCAAAGCTTTGAAGCCCCATTCACCTTTTTCACCTGACTCAAGCTCCAGAACTTTCTGAAAAGATGCAAGGGCGAGATGTGGATCTTCCTCCTTAAGGGCTTTAGAATTGTAATATTGGTTTTCTAAGTCGACATCAGGCTCAGAATTGCTATCTTCAGAATACTCCTATAAATGAAGAAATAATAAAAGAAATCTGAATATCATATAGATAATTACGTACTAAAATAATTCTAAGTTCCCAAATAAATCATAAAAGATAAAAATGAAATGTGTATCAAAATTTTATAATGGTGTGGAAATAATTGAATGTGGTTCTAATATAATAAGAAGTTGGTCAGATGTAGTTAACAGTCTCACACATGATATGTGGGTGTAATGTTAATTGTATAGCCTACATTACAGGTCTTCATCAAGGCTTTCATCCAGCAATACCAGAGGAAGCAAGAGAACACAAATGACATCAAAATTTTAATTTAACAAAAAAAGAAAGTTAAATGACAATATTTCGGAATAAACAGAAGTTGGTATCCAATTATTTAAATATAATATCGGATCTAGAATTATTAAACTACAGTAAATGTATTTAAGGTTATAAACATATGCTTTATACATCCATTAAATGATTTTATATTTTACTTCTTCTTTCACACAAGTACAATAAAATAGTTTTTTAAACAATGACATTGCCTTGATTAGGTGGATTTTAAATACTTTTTCAAACTTAAAAATATTTCAAAAGTTTACATTTAGTAAGTAAATTTCATTTCCTTGTAAATTTCATTCCTTCCTATTATTATTAAATTAAATTTCCTTTAAAACATGTGATTTACGTTAAATAATATTAATTTTCAAAAATTATTATTTATAATTTTTTTGCCACTCTTCGTTACCTTCTACAACTTTCTAATATCCTTTATTAACTTATCAAATTCTTTCAAAAGTTATATTTAGCATTTTTTCGTAACTGTGTGTGAGATGATTAACTTTTTAAAATAAACCATATTAAAGGTACTTTAGATGAAGACGCATATGAACATTGGGCATTAAAGCCCTGTAAAGTGACATCAACGGGGATAAGATCTAATTGATATTAAAGACCACTTAATTATCCAATGATACATTGAGTTTGATCAAAATCGTTAGAGCCGTTTTTGAGAAAATTTTGAAAATGAGTTTCAGCGTTGATATAAAGTGGCACTTCCGGTTAGCCGATTTTAAGGAAAACGTTGCTGTCACATCTAAGGTATATACCTATCTTAAATATATATATATATATATATATATATATATATATATATATATATATATATATATATATACATATATACGTAAGTGAAAGTCAAAATTATTATCGTGACCACTGCTAGCGAATCCAGCCATGGGACCTTCCTTGGATGGTGGAAAAATAATTCCGACAAAAAAGTTCCAAAAAGCAACTATTTATGAAAAGAGAGAAACACGGAAAATTCATCCTTATAAAAGAATTTTCTAATGTAATACAAAAAAAAAAAAATTACTATCGAGACCAGCACTAGCGAATTTTTTTGTTGAATAATAAGTGATAACTAAAAACTATTTATTTCAAGTAATTAACGATTGCTCCACTGTAAACTAAACAAAATTTACTTTAAATGAAAAAAAAAAGTTTGCTAATTTCAAAACCATTTAAGGAGGACTTTTGAGCGGCTAAACTCAGCTAATGAGTGGGGAAGATGGGTTGTGGTGGGGGAAGCACCTGGTACAAAGGTAAGATAATAATTATTTTTAATATCGAATTAGAAACTGCGTCTTAGAGGATGGTTTCCTTTAATTTTGTTTTATTTAAATGGCTGTTTTGGGGATTTTTTTTTTCCATAATTATGTTTATACCATCCAAGGAAGGGCACCGCGCCCCCTAGCATAATTCGCTAGTGCTGGTCTATTTTTTTTTTATACTACATTAGGAAATTCGTCTATGAGGATGAATTTTCCCTATATTTAGCTTTCCTTTAAATAATTTGTAATTTTTACTATCACTTACGTATATATGTAATATATAGTAAGGGAGAGTATTGCGATCGAGAAAATTTTTGAATCTGAGTTTTCAACGGAAATAGACAGTTTGAGGTACCCTAGGTCGAAATGAACAAGTCCCGAAAATGGTCTGTGTTTCTGTGTGCTTGTACGTTAGCAGTCTAGCTCAAAAACGAAAAGTCCTACGAAACTGATATTACGTATTTAAGATAGGTATATGCCTTAGATGTGACGGCAACTTTTTCCTTAAAATCAGCTAACCGGAAGTGCCACTTTATATCAACGCTGAAACGCATTTTCACAAAAACGGCTCTAACGATTTTGATGAAACTCGGTGTATCATTGTATAATTAAGTTGTTTTTAATATCAATTAGGTCTTATCCCCATTGGTGTCACTTTACAGGGCTTAAATGCCCAATGTTCATATACGTCTTCCTCTAAAGTACCTTAAATATGGTTTATTTTAAAAAGTTAATCATTTCAGATTATTCAAAGTAATGAAAAAATGCTAAATATAACTTTTGAAAGAATTTGATAAGTTAATAAAGGAGAAAAAAAATGCAGAAAAACCTGCGTTGCTATAGACTGTAGCGCCTAAACGAATGTACCGATTTCAATGAAACTTCGCTAAAGTCATTTTCTCGACAACCTTTAAATTTATCTATATAACATACTTCAACGAAAAGAAGCTGGAAAAAAAGTTACGAGCGATGGTAAAATTAAATTCCGAATAACTCAAAACGTATACACTTTTTTGATGATATTGCATATGGTTTTCTAAAAGTTTATGGAATTTCCTAAAAAAACCAAAAAAAAAAATCGTTAAGATCGGACAACTAGGAGGAAAGATATGGTCGCTAGTTTTTTTCCCTCAAGAGGCGAAAATTTGGATAAATTTAAAATATACTATTTTAATTGTTGAGACTAAAAAAAACTTTTTTCTACTAATAAAGTATCTTTCCTAAGAACATTTTTCATAAGAAATAAGTACCTAAATTTATACCTTTATTTTCAGTTCTATATTTCAACATTGCAATCACCACCTCCGGAATCAACTTACTCATATTCTGCATAGATAACTTTTTCAAATAAAAATATCACTAAAATGACATCAATTAAAAATTTTGAAATTGGAGTTAGTCATTCTAAAGTTTATAAAAGCAAAGAAAGTTGTGTGGTTTATAAAAGCAGATGGGGTGACTAGATTTATATTGCCTGCTGTCGATATATTAAATAGACATTTTGTAATTATAATGGTCTTAATAAATTGTTATTTGTAAGCTTTAAGCTTTAGCTCTGTTTAAAATGCACTTCAAAAAATTTATAATAGCCCAGCATTGCCAGAAAATAATTTCTATTCATAGTACATCGGTAAGTGAAAGTTGTGTGTTGCGCGCACCAGATTTTTTTCACCTTCCGAGGGAGGAGAAGAAGGGGGGGGGGGGGGTGGAACCGCTAGTGTAAAGAAGGCCCCTGCACTTATTTATACTTCATTGTGGGTATTTTTATTTGTTTAAGCATCGGTATACAGGGAGTACTGTACTGTAAGTAGAGGGAAATATTTAAAAAGTTGATCGTAGATATCAAGATCTTCAAAAAAAGTCCATAGAAGCAATTGCCCATTTTCCAGCGGAAAAGTAAGTAACTAAAGATTTCTGTTTTTTTAAGCAAGTCACTTTTTGTGTTGAATTGGAAGCGATAAGGTGTAAAAACGTCTGCCAAGTATGGTCAGTATAGCTTCCTCACCGTTTTCATTAACTAAAATATATCTATATTACATGGTATACAATTTTTCGTATGAGAATAAAATCTCTGGGAGAAGCCGATTAGGATATACAGTTACAACATTCGCCGGTTTGATATCCTCGAATTTCGTGTATCTGCTAATATTAAAATGCGAAAGAGTGCCGTATTTGTAGATTCCATATTGATTATTCATAATTTATAAAAAAAAAATGCCAATGTATACTGAACATGAATTTCACGACTGATAGTGCAAAAGGTCGTATGTAAAAACTCATTATTTCTTTATGCTTTATTGGTATAATTTCATATTTTATTGTCCTCTGCTATTTCCATAGTTATACTTATATCAGTTGCAGACTACAAAATGTCACCTTTAGCACAAATAGAATAAAAGTTGAAAATTTTTAAATACGACCTTTTGCACTAATAGTAGTGATATAAACTTAATAGGTAAGTTTTCAGTTCGTAAAATGGATGGAGCTAGATAATCCATAGGAAAAATTCAACTTGTTTTTTAGGAGTTAACGAGAACAATACTTTTCTCCAGTTAGAACAAAACTAATTAAGCTTGAATATAAAAATATGGGTGAAGTTCACACAACTTCGATATTTAAGGAGGAAATCGATACCAAGACAAACTGATTGAAATTCAATGGAAATAAATACAATCATAAATAAGAGTTTTTTTTGTTTACGAATTTAGAGTAAAAATTACTTTGAATTTACTGAAAATTACAGGAAATCTAAGTAAGGTAGTAAGTGTCATGCCAGTAATGTTTGGAATCGACCAAACAATACAGTATCACTTAATTTTTTTAATAAAAACTAAAATTTTATAACCCCATAACAATATTGTAATAACCTAACTCCCACGCCATATGATCAGTGCCTTCAACATTGCACAGCCATTATATTGTTAACACATATTAATTTAAAACAGAAATAAAAATAATGATTTTTCTAATATTTTTTAGGTAAATTGGTTATGAAACTATATTTTTCACCCAGATTTCTATTATACGAATTGATCTGTATTTATGTGTGAAAAATAAGTTGTTCTTTTTTTTCTTCTAAAATTTATGTTATCGTGAAAATAATTGATGAAATCAATAGATTTATTTGTTTTAAACGTAAATTTTAGGACTTTTTTATTTCATATTTTTTTTTCTTCTTTAGTCTAACAAATAGTGACGTTGATAAAGAAGGCCGCTTTATTTATTTATATTTCATTGTGTGTATTTTTATTTGTTTAAGGAGCGGTATACATACAGGGTCTGCTGTAAAATAGGCAATTGTTTATATGAACTTTTTTTTAGATTTTGATGTCTACTATCAACCTTTCAAATATTTTCTTCAACTAACGGGACACCCTGTATATACAAATTTTTATTTTTATTTCACTGTA